AACTCAAGCTCGACGCGGCAAGAAATATGTCAATTTGAGCTCGATTCAAACTCAACTCGATAATAGCTCATGAACAAACTCTATAAGCCCAACTCAGACAAAAAGAAGCCTACGGTTGGGCCTTTAGGAGAAAAATCATTTAGCCCACATTTCAAAGGGCCAATATACTGGACTATCCACAATTTACTAAGCCACTAACAACCACCAACATTTTATAGCTTTGTTATTAAGTACTTGATTCTTAAACCAATGATGTGGTAGAATTTTCTCAAGCAAGTCTTCACCAACAAAAATCAGAGTAGCTTTGACAATTGGCAGTAGCCACTAGCCAGTGAAGAGTACATGCATCACGTGCCTTAAATGCATGAACAGTCGAGTCAGGGCTTGTCCTCATTGGTGCCATTAGAGCATCGAACACTGACCACGACCAAATCCTCCCTACCTTGCTGCTGTTGGGGTTGCTGATCACCGCATGTCTCACCTCAGCGGGTTTCGTCGTTAAGATAAACACTCCATGAATAATATAGGTAAACTAATTCCCGTGAATAGAACTATACAGTTAATTACGAGAAATTTTACCGTGATGAACAATATACTTCTTAGTACGGGAAAACTCCTGTGTATAAGATCTCGTGACTAGATACCAGTTTTTCTGTAGTGCTAGTCAAAGTGTGGTGCATATGGCTTCTGTGAGCATTCCTTTGGATAGCCACACTGCTGTAAGTATTCTAACTACCTTTTGAGTCATCTTGTTATTTATACTTCTTTCGATCTTATGTCTGATTATTGATGATATGTATTATTTTCAGGGTTTCTATGCTTCCAATATCAATCAGAACACATCAACTAGATCCGAGTTTTTCATATGTATGTGTTATCTATATATATTATTTATATACATCAACCAAATGTAAAAAATGTGGACACCCCTTCTAGGATTTCTACTTATCTACCGAGACAGTGAGACTATTATGTGATTCAATTAAATGACAGTTTTTATTTGTCAACACAAAGTAAACTTTTGTTCTTGGTGGGAAAGATTAAAAAATAATAGGGCAAGTCACATAAACTTTATATATATATATATATATATATATTATCTACATATAATATTTATGCACAAAAATATATTATGTAGTATTATTCGTGCCAAGCGGGCGGGTTCGGGTTGGGTTAATCGGGTTCGGGTTAGTCGGGTTACGGGTCTAGCGGGTTGCGGGTCAAGCGGGTTGCGGGTCAATCGGGTTGCGGGTCAAGCGGGTTGCGGGTCAAGTGGGTTGCGGGTCAAGCGGGTTACGGGTCGGGCGGGTTGCGGGTCTTTGACTTTTAGTCCAATCGGGTTGCGGGCGGGTCGCGGATCGGGTTGGTTGGGCGGGTTACTCGGGTCGGGTCATGTTTTGACACCTATAGTGAAAACCTCAATTTCTCCAATAATATAACTACATTTATCATAACATTGTTTGTTTTCTTGGTCTTATAATGAAATGAACGAATATTTCTAATGTTTTCCATATAAATAGCATATCCATTGGATCGACCTACCCCGACCCGCGACCCATGATAAATTACCCGACCTGAACCCGACCTGCCACGGACGGATATGGGTAGCACGATACCCGCCCTGGACCTGCCCATTGGCATTCTGCCGCAGAAGGGTTGTCTACAATTAACCCTTTTTCAAACATTTTTCACCAATTAGGAACGAAATTGGACATTTTTTTTAATTTTCTTACAATTATCTTTTTTTTTGTACTTGATGTGGAGTCCACATCAGCAACACACAATAACTCACTAATGGACAACATCAAATTTGATGGTCAACTGAAAGATCAAGCAAAAATTTAGTAATTATTTTCAGACTTTGTAAGGGGTTTAAAAAAAATTATGTCCAAAATAATATTTAGGAGAAAGTTTTTGGGATATTAATCCATAAATTTATTACTTGCCACCTTCTTAGATTTACTCAAATCCGAACAATCTGTCAATCACTACTACACCATATAATTAATCCATACTTACTAACATAAGAAAATACTGAGTTTTCTTCTACCTCAAGTCTCAAACGTGGACAAGAAGCAAAAGGCGTTGCAGTCACACCATACGCTGTAGTTTCTTTTATCATCAATCCGTATTCAGAAGGACACGCATTCCGCTACGATTTGTGTAGAATGCACTAATAACATTGCTGCTCTTATAATAGTCGACATCGACTGATTTTACTGTTTATCTTCTTTTCCATTTTCATCGTAATCTTTTCAACAACACAGCTGGATTATAATCGATGGGAACTATATATGGATGAATGAGAGGAAGGGTGGAGGCACGTTGACTCCTCTAGAAAGTAGAAACCCTAAACACCAAAACGTTGTTACTCTTCCAAGAACCAAGTGCCTATGGACTATGGAGTATGGACCATGGAGGTGAGTTTGCTTATAGAAGAATAAACTCATCCAAAGAGAACAGTTTTCTGAAAATGGGCTAGTATGCATATACAAGATTAGGCCAACTTTTTTTTTTTTTTCATTAGATCACTCTCAAAAAGAGGAAATCGTTCAGATACATGAAGATCAACAGAGTTTAAGCAACTCTGGAACCTAACCAAGAACAGAAGTCAAACCTCCGAAACAATGGAGGCGACAAAGAAAGAGCATGGCGGGCCACACTATGAGCCGCGCTGTTGTGAATACGACCAATAAATTGAATCGTATAAGAACCCACATCATCTAGCATCCCAAGTATTTCCTGCAGAATAGTACCAATCTTGTTGTCAGCCAAATCCCTCGTCAAACACTTGTCTATGATCAGTTTAGCATCTCCACAAATTATAAGATCTCTTAGCCCACGCCGACGACAGTCAACAATGCAGTCTCGTAAAGCCAAGGCTTCTAAGACATACGGATCCATCATCGCTTCATATCGATTCGCTGAAGCAGCCACTATCCCACCTGACAGATCAAACATCACAAATCCTGCCGTACCAAACCCATCCGCAGATGTTGCTGCATCAAAGTAGCCATTCTTTGATTAATTGGTGGAGGTGCTGCAGTTGCTCGACTGGAACTACTAGCAAGTTCAGTTGCTGATTGCAGCAAAGCCTGGTCCACCTCCTTCACTTGATGGAACCACTGATGAGCCAGAGCATCCATGCGAATTTGTCTTGATTGGAACACCACTGTACATCGATTCTTCCACAGCCTCCACAGCAAACAAATCACCTGCATAATCTTATAATCCGCATCTGGACCTGTTATCCTCATGATGGTAAAACGGAGGAATCCTGTGAAAGATCTTTTCTCCGCAGACGCCCACAAACCCTGCAAACCAATAAGACTCCAAAGCTTTCTTGCTACCAAGCAATTGAAAAACATATGTTCTATCGTTTCTTCCTTACGGCCACATACTGGGCAAATAGGCAACAAGTCCATACCCCTCGAAACTAATGCCTCCCGAATTGGCAGAATACGATGTAAACGTTGCCATAAAAAGAAGTGCAACTTAGGAGATACCTTTTGATTCCATACCCATTGCCATAAAACTGGATCAGTGAAGGAAGCAATATGTTTTCTTGTAGTGATTGGGTGAGCTTGACTAACCCAAAAATAAGCAGATTTAACAGAAAACCGACCTGATGCTTCAAACTGCCAAATGAATTTATCACTAATCCTATGCAAGGGGAGAGGGATTCCACGGATTACCTGAATAGTGGTGGTATCGAAGTACAATTGCAGCATAGGCAGGTTCCATGATTTGGTTCCTGGGTCAATGAAAGCAGCCACAAAAGGAAAGGCTGTTGGAGCTCCTGGACGGGGCTTTGGAGTGGGTGGTGGAGTAGTTGGCAGCCATGGATCTTGTAAAGCTCTAATCGAGAACCCATCACCCACCTGCCAACGAAGACCCTACTCTAATAATTCTCGCCCAAACAAAACGCTTCGCCAACCCCAAGACGGATTAGATCCTAAATTAGCATCCAGAATCGAAGCAGAATGACTGTAATAGCGGCCTCGGTAAATACGAGCTAACAATGACGTCGGATCATCCAAAACCCTCCAAGCCACCTTCACAAGTAAAGCCTGGTTGAAATCACCAAATTCCCTGAAGCCTAGCCCACCGGATTGTTTACTTGAACATAAAAGCCTCCATGAACGCCAGTGAATCCTCCGATGTTGAATAGTGGCACCCCACCAAAAACGTGCCATGTGAGCATTGAGTCGCTTTATAAGCTCCGAAGGAAGGCGGAAACAAGACATGATGTAAATCGGTAATGCCGATGCTACCGCTTTGAGGAGAACTTCCTTACCTGCAGCAGATAAAGTACGTTGTTTCCAACCTTGAAGAACGGATAGAAGCTTCTCCTCAACAAACCGGAATGTCTCCATCTTGGATCTCCCTAGTGATGAAGGCAGCCCTAAGTAGCGATCTTGTAGTCCAATTGAACCCACACCAAGAAACGAACCCAACTCCTCCTGATCATGTTGTAACAAATTAGGGCTGCAGTAAACTGCAGATTTTTGAAGATTTACTCGTTGGCCACTGATACTCTCGAAGTCACTAAGAACCTGAAGAAGATTGACAGCATCCCGCCGCGAAGCTCTTAGGAAAAGGAAGGAGTCATCTGCAAAAAGAAGGTGTGAAACAGGAGGACAGCGTGGATTAATACGAACTCCATGAAGCTCATGAAGAGCCACTGCCCTTTTGATCATGGCTGTAAAGCCTTCCGAACAGATTGTAAAAAGCAAGGGAGAGAGGGGATCCCCTTGACGTAAACCACGAGACGAGGGGAAATACCCTGACGGTTTCCCATTCACCATGACCGAGAAGGTCGCAGAAGTAACACATTCCTTAACCCAGTGAATCCAAGTCGGAGCAAAACCCATTTTGCGAAGAAGAGCAAACAGGTAAGCCAACTTATTCATAAAAAAAGATCAGGCCCAACTTGCTTCCAGAGTTGACCATTCAAGTTTTATGGGCTTCGGGGCCAGAACCTTCCGGCAGCATTACAAGTTTATAACACCGGCTAGTAGAACCTACGTCAAATTGGGAAAGAAGTAACTAGAAAGGATTGCTCCGCGAACAGCCAACGGAGGGGGCCAACGGCCGGCGATTCAGTCTCTCCGATTCCTAAACAACTCAAATTCTCTGCAGTTTCCGTCAATTCATTGATGAAACTTCACCAGGGGCTCTGACTGAAGTTTTTTCATCTTCAATTGTAATTTGGGGCTCCAAGCGATGGGGGAAGAAGAGCAAGGGAAGAAACGGCGGGTGGTGGCGGAATCGCTGGGATGGCTGACGGAGTCAACTATCATGCCGAAGAAGCACCGAGCCATCGAGGGCGTCGGCGCTTCTTCCATCGTCGAGCTTAAGGCTCAGCTCTACAAATCGCAGGAGGAAGCCAGGAAAGCCAAGGACTTGGCCGGTACAGATGTGGAATATCATCGCGCCAAGAAGAAAATCTCCCCCCACGATGCTTTCTCCGTCAAGAATTCCGGTGTTGAATCCCGAGCGCACAAGTGAGTCCCTTTTGAACATTCATCTTGCCTTTACTTCCCCTCTTTCTTATATATTGCGTTCATTCCCAAGCGTTTGGAATTAGGGTTTCGGTAATCAATTAGTGGATGAATTCTTCCAATTTCTCTGATTCCAGGGACAAGCTTGAGCTGAAAGCGGTTCAAGATGGGTCGGCGAGCTATGCCGCGTTGGAGAAGAAGGCAGCGTTATACGAGAAGCTAGTAAGAGGAGAGTTATCGGACGAGGAAGCGGAAGAGAAGTACTGTGTTGATTTTTTCCGTAAAGGAATTGAGGTAGAGGAGTCCCAGAAGTCGCAATCCCCTGAAACTTCTTCCAGTGCTGCTGCTGCAGCGGCAAGTGTGAATGATGAAGATGGCGGTGATGGTCCAGCTGGTCTATTTAGTACGAAATTTGTGAAGCCTGGCCAATCAGGTGGAGCATTTGACCAAGATGAACACAGGCGTTTTGTCAGGTACTTGCAACCTGTTCTTATGGAATTCGATTTGAGCATAACTTTTGTGAAAGTTCTGTTCTTGTTGTTAATGTGGGTTTGAGGTTTAACTTGAAAATGGCTCTTGGTGCTGGTTAGCAAATCGAGTATCTAGGCGTGAGAAGGGACCTTGGTATTTGCAAAGTTGTAGACTTTGCTTCTTTTGAAATAGATTAGGCTGCAGAATCGAATCAACAATGTGTGATTTTTATACATTTTTGCTCTTCTGGCCATATTGTGCAAAGGTTGTCTGGCTGTCTGGAGTTCAACTCCTTTCTGTAAAGGACTGGTTGTTCTTATTTTGTTTTAAATGGTAAGTTTATGTATGGGTTTCTGCAACTAAATATGATCATACTATGGTCTTCAACATTAGATCTCTTCATGAGACCAGCCTATCTAAGGAGAACTTTAAAGGGTTGGTTTCTCCCTGCGATTTCCTTGTACATGTTCAACATTTTCTATGATCAGATTTTTCTGTAAGGGATGAAATCGCTCTAAAATAAAATTTTCCATCAAATAGTTATCATTCGGAAGATAGCTTAATTCAATAGTCAAGAAAGAAGGGCTAGAACAGGGAATTAGTTGACAGGCTAGGTATCTTCTATAGTGGATGACTTACCCCGTTCTTTTATATGGTGGATATTATTGCCTTGTGTATACTCTGATGTGCTGATAAAGAGAAGTACTAATGAAGGTCCATGGTTTGGTTATGGTATTATGCAGTCAAGTTCATGAAGAAGCAAATCAAGCAAGAGAGAAGGTGTCGGAGATGAAATTGCAGAGGCAAGAGAAGGTAGAAGCTCGCCGCAAGAACTTCAAGCAGGCATATCTTCTGAAGAAGTTGGAGAAACTGAAAGCTGCTGGAACCTCTTTAGAACAATCTGTAGAAGGGGGGAAGTGATGGCTCCCCATATTGGTTTTGGCATATATGATGAACTGCTGAAAGATGTTGTGAGGTCATCACTCATGTGTATAGACAGCAAAATTCAATACACATTTTCTAAAGCCTTTCCTTTTCTTCCTTCATATCTCTTCCCTACTACAAAGTATAAAAGGTCGATGGAGATTGTGGGAATGAAATGGGCGGCACCGGCCTGCCTCTTATTAATTGGATTTCTGCAAATATTAGTGGGAAAATGAAAAAGAAAAATAATATCGACTCCGCTGGGGATCGAACCCAGAATCTCTGGTTTCGTAGACCAGCGCCTTATCCATTGGGCCACGGAGTCCTGTTGTTGATGTAGAATGCAAAGTTTATATTTACTAATTTGATTTAGCTCACATCACCTGTCAAGGCAGTCCAGGAGGCGGACGCAATTCAAATGCTGAATGTAGCAAACAAATTTCGTCTAAAGTATGCAATTTTGGGAGAGAGGAAGAAGGCTTAAGGAGCCATGAAGAAGTAGAGTCCAGTATAGTTAATAGTGAACAAGACAAAGGCGGCCAAATTGATAGGACCCGTTAGAGGGAGGCCATGAAGCTCAACCAACTTAACCACTTTCACAAACACTAAAGAAAAAGAGGTAATGAAGTAGGGGTTAACAATGATGACGGTCGGACTGGTCCAAATCTCGTCAAATCTCACATGTGGTGCAACCAAATCACACCACGAAACTTGATGTTTGACAAGGCATCTGAATTTTATGCGGTTAATGATTAGTGGTTTGAATGGATCGAAAGTACACGGTTGTAACACCAAACCGTAAACCACAAATTATCGTAAAGCTCCAAAACGTGGAACAGACTTGAAGATGTGAATCACTATGACGTAAAAGCTAAAAAGCACCACACGGGAGGAAGGTTCATCCTTTGCCTCTTTCGGTCTTTCCTCATGTTGCAATTGCCTCTTTCCTCAGAGATGGACTCATGGCACTCTTTCCTATTCCTCTTACCAGTTTCCAGCAGCAGATAGTGACTATTCGTATCTTGCTTGATTGGTTTATGTTTGTTTGGCCAATTTATATGAGGCAGTCACAACCAAATCACTAATTTATGTGGTTTGATTCGACCGCATCAATTAATTTGTGGTAACATTTATAGTGCGATCCAATGAACTTACGGTGCGCTGGGATTAGCATGATTGTGGTGCAGTACAATCGGACCATACCATTTGCCCACCCCTATCACGAGGAAGAAGACAAGATCACACACTATACTACTATAGTCGTCGTCATCTCCCAGCTTGCGGTGAGAGTGGTTAGGAGGAGGCCCACCGCCACCGGCACGGCGGAACCAAAGCGACTGAAATGGATTTCTCATATTTTCTGACAAACCCGCCTCTTGATTCCTCTTAGCTATATATCCAGAAATCCATGTGGGGCAGTCGACTCTTTAGCAGGAAGTGGAGTTTTGCTTGCTGACAGTATCATGATTCCTATTTCGGTAGCGTAGGATCGAGGCTGGGACCCTTGGGCAGAATTTGTAATCCGAATCAAAACGTACTTCCGTGCTTGAAGCTCGTCTCCATTACACCACTCGTACATTATTCCATCCGTCCCTCGCGCTTTCAGATGATTTGAAACCTACCCATTATTGATTCACCTCTGCCGATGAGAAAACAGAAAAAAAGAAGAGGTATTCTCCCGAGTTACCTCATTTGCTACTTGCAGCAAATCCAGCTCTCTGCTTTCTGAGTTTGGCTGAATCGGACGTGAATTTGCTTCAATGGGTTTTGGCAAAGCATCTCTCCGGTGCCTCTTTTTGTTTTCTTTCCTCAATCCCAGACTCCCATTGCTGCAGTGCTGTCACCCGCCGAATCACATCACATCACATCACCCTAAATTTGTCTGAATGCGGCAGAGGACACCTCCAGCCGTTACAAATAGCTTCATCCCATCCCCATGTAAACTACACTCTCTTCTTTGCTTCACCATCGCAATAACTCCCCTGGCTTTGTCTTCACTAAATCCGTCCGTAGATAGCGTTTGATCGATCGGAGAGATGGGAGAAGCCGATCAGCAGCCGGCCGGCCTGAAGCTAAGTGTCATGGGTAAGTGAATCCAAAACCTTTCTCTGAAAACAGAGTGCTAGCGTATTCAGAGTAAAAAGAAGAATTTCTCTCGTGATATCAGTCCACCACCCCGCCGCTTTTTCACATTTTGATTAGTAACGTCCAAGAAAAACGTTCCTTCTCTGCTTTGCTTGCTTGTATCGGAGAACAAAGTAAACTTGAACCGGAAAAGAGTACCATTCACAGCTCTTCAGACTATAACTCCCTCTTCCTTCCCGTTAATTGCCAATGTTGTTTCAGGACTCGAAGCAGGGGAACCCACCACCGTCGCCGAAATGGTCACGGATCCCAGAGCCCGCCGGATGTGGTGGATTCGAGTCTCCATGTACATAGCCTTCGTTATCGCCGGACAATCGGCGGCGACGCTGCTCGGAAGACTCTATTACGCGAAGGGTGGCAACAGCAAGTGGATGGCGAGCCTCGTCGAATGCGGCGGCTTCCCGGTCCTCATCCCTCTCTACATCCTCACCAAGAAAAACTCGCCGCCGGCGAACAGCAACAGCAATTCCACCTCCCCTGTTTCCCTTCCGATCCTGACACTCGCTTACACCGTCATGGGGATTCTGATTGCCGGATTCAGCTTGCTCTACTCCGTGGGACTGATGTACCTTCCAGTGTCAACCTACTCCTTAATCTCCGCATCCCAATTAGGGTTCAATGCCCTCTTCTCCTTCTTCATCAATTCCCAGAAAATCACCGCCTACATCCTCAATTCCCTCGTCCTCCTCACTCTCTCGTCAATTCTCCTCGTCTTCGAAAACCCTAGCTCCGCCGAATCGTCCCAATCGGGTTCCTCGCGGCGCAATTTTGCGATTGGGTTCCTCTCCACGGTCGGGGCATCCGTCGGGTACGGACTCTTGCTAACCCTGACCGAGTTCTTCTTCGAGAAGGTGGTGAGGAGGCGGACGTTCAAAGTGGTGGTGGACGTTCTGGTGTACCCGCCGGCGGTTGCGAGCGCGGCGGTGGTGGCGGGGCTGTTCGGCAGCGGGGAGTGGAAGGGAATTGGGAAGGAGATGGAAGGGTTTGAATTGGGGAAAGCTTCGTACGTGATGACGTTGGTGTGGACGGCGGTTTGTTGGCAGGTGTTCTCGATTGGGTGCGTGGGGTTGATATTCGAGGTGTCGTCGCTGTTTTCGAACGTTATCGGGACGTTTGGGCTGCCGGTGGTGCCGATTCTGGCGGTGGTTACTTTTAGGGACGAGATGGGTGGTTTGAAGGTGATTGCTATGGTTTTGGCGGTTTGGGGGTTTGTTTCGTATCTCTATCAACATTACCTTGACGACCGTGATGATTCGAGGTCCAAGTTTGAGAGTGACGGTGGCCGGAGCTCCGGCGGGGGAGATGATCAGGAGACTCTGGGAGATGGCTTGTTAGTCTAGAAAAAATGTGTAGTGTGGACTGTGGAGGCAGCATATGATTCTATGTTTCCTGCTCTACGGTTTCGTTATTTGATGTGAATAAGGTGATGAGAAAGTAACATGTGTAGTATTTTTCATTTAATTGTTGCAAGTTTTCATTTAATTGTTGTAAGGTTATTGAGGTTTGTAATCATGTAGAGGCATTGCAATGTACTGGTCAAATATATATTAGGGACATCAAAATTGTATTTAAGTAATTTTTTACATAAAATTATTAACTTTTCTGAAGGGAAGGGCCAAATACACTTGTATAGCTAAAACTTTGACGGTTTTGTCAAATATAGCCATTTTTGGGGAAATACCAATAATAGCCACTTCCGTCCAATTCTTTGACAGTGTTAACCAAATAGCTGACTAGACTAACGACATTGCTGAGGTGGTGGTGACATTTTAAACAACATTGCCACATAGATTAATGAAAAACTTAATAAAAAAAGAAAAAGAAAAATTGTCCAAACCCCACATCCCCCTAAACCCAACTCCGTCTCTGTTTCAACCCCACATCCCCCAAATCATCATCCTCTTCCTTCCCCTTCAAATCGAAACCCGTCAGACCACCTTCACCTTCGCATCATCTTCTCCAACCAGTTAACTCCCCCGAATCGATCTTCCCCTGTTACGCTGCTCGCCATCGTCTCCCACTACCGACCACCATCGATCCGCCCCTATGCCATCGCACCTAGATCTTCATCGCTGTTGCAGTATCATCATCGTCGTTGTCTCGGGCTCCGTCAATCTGTCTTCGTCTGCATCTTCGAGGGAGGAGAGAAGAAGAAGAAGAAGAAGAAGAAGAAGAAGAAGAAGGGATGGATCTAACCGTCATCTTCCATCGCGCGATCTCTCCCTCCAGAACCGCCGATTTGAGCTAGAAGAGAACAATCGATTCTGGGTTTTTGAACAATCGATTATTGGTTCGAGAACGATAGGGTTAGGGGAAATCCCTGCTTTTGGATAGCGGGTGTTGGATTCTTGCTTTTCTTTCCGCTGGGTTTTTGCAGGGAGATGACGACGGGAGGAGTTGCGACATGGGATTGTTTTTGGCGTCGGAGTGCTGCTCGCCACCGGCGTCGAGTTCACCTTCTCTGTCTCTGGTGAGAACAAAACAGAGACAAAGATTTCCGTCGGATTCTATGAGCCAGAGGGAGATCGTAGGGTTAGTATGCTGTCGCAGCGGTGTCGGCGGGGTCGGTGGTGGGTTGGATCTGGAATGCTGTCGTAGTGGGAGGAGAGGATATGGGTTTGGGGTTGGGGTCGGTGGTGGAAGGAGAGGGAGAGGAAAGAGTTCTTCGACGGCGAGTGGTGGGAGAGGAGAGAGGATGAATTTTTTTGTCATTTTTATTTATTTTTAAATTAAAAAATGACATGGCAAGTATTGTTGAGTTGTTAATGATGTGTCCGGTGAGTTGGCAGCCAGGTAAGCGTTTGGTTAATTTGACTAACGGTGTTATTGACGCCGTCAAACTATGTAACGGAAATGGCTATATTTGTCATCAAACTTTCAAAATTCTGGCTATTTCTGGTATTTCTCCAAAAGTGGCTATATTTGTCACAAACGTCAAAGTTTTGGCTATACAAGTGAATTTGGCCTAGGGGAAGAGAAAATTCTATCCCATATCTCAAACCCGTACGGATTAACGGGTACCGTTACTCGTACGGGACGGATAACGGGTACCCGCGAGTACCTATATAATACCAAAAATGACAAATATAATTGGTTTTCAAAAACCTAAACATACTAAATCGACCAAATTAACATGACAACCAATATAACCATACCAAGACAACTATAATCAATCTTTAGGTTTATGTCTTATATATGTTAATTAATTAGGACAGATAGAGGTGGTAAATGGATTGATCCATGTATCAAACGGATTGGTGGATTCATGGATTGGATCAAGTGGATTGTTGGATTATCCATGAATCCAAATGACATCCTCAATCAAGGACTAATACGTAAAATGTGAAAAGTTTAGGTACTAAAATGTCATAATGAAAATTTTTAGGTACCAAAACGTAAATTTTTAATGATATTTTCCGTATAAAAACATTAAATTTTGGGTACCAAAATGTAAAATATAAAAACTATAGGTACCAAACCGTAATTTGCCATATGGATCAATCCATCAATCCACTAATCCAATTGAATTTGGATAAAATGGATTGGATTTAAATAGATTGGATTAGGTGGATATTTTTAATGGGTTGGTGGATTGGATTGGTGGATTAGATTGAGAATTGCCGAGGACAGATGCGTTGTGTACGTGGGAGAGACTAAAATTGGTGCATTACTCCTTTCTTAGGCGTGCGAAGTATCAATTTTTGAGTTCCAAAAGTAAAAAAGAAACAGTGACAATATTCTTGGCTCTGGTAAAGTTTCTGGTTAGTTGGGTTAAGTTCTTGTGATTTAAAAAAGTATCGTGAGAGCAGGCTGAGCAGCTGCTAGCTCAGGTTCCTTTTAATAATGGAATTGTTCAAATTCGAAGGGAAAAAGGTGACAGAAACCACAACTAGGGCTGTTAAAATGGCTCAATTTTGGTCTAAAATTTATCTAGCTTAATTATAGGAGAATTTAGATAGAGGATTGTTATTTGTCGCCAGATAAATTACTATTTGCCGCCCACCATTTTGAAGTAAATTACAATTTACCCCTTATTATTCGGAAACCCACTCACACCACCGCTCAACCTCCTCTGACTTCCCCTGCCGGAAAATCGCCGCTCAGCAAGCTTTCTTCCTCCTGCCAACCCCAACCCCCACCCCAACACCAACCCTTACCCCTCTCTCTTTCCTCAAGCCAATGCTCCCCCGGCCATCGCTTCTTCCTCCGTCCCTACCGTCATCATCATATTCGAGAGGATCGCCGACCACACATCCAACCTGACATCCCATGGATCGAAGCTCGCACGCCTTCTTCTCGGCATCATCATCATCTTCCCGGCGTCGTCTGACGGAGATCAGCAGTCCGACGACGGATTTCGGACCACGTCCGATCAGCGGCGTCAGACCACGTCCGATCTCCGGGGTCGGACCACGTCCGATCTCCGGCGTCGGACAGGCCGCATGTGTTTTTCTCTCTCCTTTTTTTTTTGCGAAAAATAAAGTTTGTTTTATAAATTATAATTGTGATTAAAGGGAGTTAAGGTAAGAATGATTTGGAAGTCTTGGCTCCAAACTATACCCTAATTTGTTAGAAATAACTTCAATTTTAATTGTGACGATGAAGAGTGATAATAGTGACTTTAGCTTGTGAAATTATTTAATAAAGAAATAATTTGAGTTCAACTAAAATTACTTGATGATAAAATTACTCGAGCTAATTAAACTTAACTTCAACACTTCAACTTAAGGACGTGATATTATAATTACTTTTTAGGGGTTATGCGTAGTATTTTTTTAATAATTAACATGACAAAAATATTGTTCATAAATTCTCTCTAAGAGCTAAAAAATTTAAATGAAATATCTTTTGATAGGAGAGGGAATTCAGCGACAGGGGTTGCTTAATCACTTGACTAAACTCCTCCTAGCCCTTAAATCTGGATACATCAATCTGACGGACAAAAAGTGGGAAAAGCTTTTTATTTAATGACAGGGATAGTTTGGTTATCATGCAAAATTACAAAGTATACAAATCAGACTTACAAACCATACAAACCATACAAACATACGAACAATACAAACTAGAGCGACAAAACATACAAACAGATTTACAAACAATACAGAACATACGAACTATACAAACAATACAAATTAGATCGACAAATATTACAAAACATACTAATAGTACAAAATACCACTACTTACAATACAAAACAGTAACTTGTATTACAAATCAATGAATACAAAGTATACAAACCACAACATAAACTATACAAACTAGACAAACAAACATTACAAATTACAATGTATACAAAATAGTCATATAAACATAATAGATAAAAATGACAAACTAGAATGATAAACGATACATACAGAATTGATACAAAATTACAAAATATACTTACAAACATTACAAAATCGTTCGACAAACATAACAAAGCAGACACTGTAGCCGGAAAATTCTTTCCGCCGGCGCCGAAAAATTCGCCAATGATGAAAAATCATCTCTCTCTCTCTAGATAAAAATGACAAACTAGAATGATAAACAATACATACCGAATTGATACAAAATCACAAAATATACTTACAAACATTACAAAATCATTCGACAAACATAACAAAACAGTCACTATAGCCGGAAAATTCTTTCCGCCGGCGCCGGAAAATTCGCCGATGACGAAAAATTATCTCTCTCTCTCTCTCTCTCTCTCTCATGGAGAGGTCTCTCTCTCGGACTAAAAATGGATGGAATGCAAAAAAAGGTGCCGCCAAAAAATCCCGAACGGAGGGAAATTATGATCGGTTGCGGCGGGGAGGACGGGGCCGACCTGCATAGTCTCTTTTAATTATTAATTATTAAATAACCATGAACTATGCAATTACTACATTAAATTGAATTAATTAGAGCCATTGAATTTTAAGGAGTTTGAAAAGCTGAGATTGACTTAGGCAAGTGACTAAGGGACCCCTCCTTAATCACCTGATCTTGGCCCTTTTGATAGAGAGCCTCCACAAATAAGTGGTAGGATGTTTGTCTCAATGGTAAAATCATTAACTAATGAATAGGGGGTCCATGGTTCAAAACTTACTAACTTCACCTTAAATTTTCATAATTTTTAACGTATATTTATTTTCCTAATGGGGTCCATGGACCCCACATCCCTTCACCTAGCTCGCCAATGAATCCAGCTCTTTCAATGAAGGGCTCGATCCGAACATCCCATCGAGGCAAGCGAGATAGCGAGCGATGGGCGATTACGTCAATTTATTCCCGTAGAAAAGAACCCTTAATTATTATACAAAAAACCTAAAAGAATAATATAGCATTGAAAGAAAAAAAGGTACATAAGGAAATGCTTACCGGGTCTACCGTCTGAACACTTTCAGACTGATGGTAAGATTGCTCATCCAACAAATCGGTTTCTCGCAGTCCGCCTTGAATGTATAATCTAGGATTGTAAATAATCGGGTCCATCTCGACAATTTTGAGTGATAGAGGTGTCAAACTAAAGAAAAAAATATTATGCGGAAGATCGGATTTAGCCGCAACCACAAAGCATATTTTTTTCTTCAAGAGTGGTGGAAGGAAGAGAGGAAGAAGAGTGGAGTGGTGTGAGATTTGGTGGAATGGGGGTG